ATTAGTTTTTTTTCATGATCCGGACGATTGGCCGACTAACGGGCCATGCAGAAAGGCAGAAAGTATCTGACAGATGCGTACGCGTGCCCAGCAGCCTCTAGTCGCCTTAATTCCATCCATATGCTCGAAAGCTCTGTACAAACTGATTTATATTAACCCGAAAAATACAAAAATACAAAAAAGAATCTCAAATAGATTTGTACTATGTATGAAAATAAAAAAAAGAGAAAAAAAAAAAAAAAAAGCAAAACGCACGTTTGATGTTGTAGATACATTCAGAGGCAGAGGCGGGCGGGCGGTAGCGCGAGCCAGTCGCAAGTACAAACCGAAGCGTCGAGCAAGTACGACGAGGGTATCTCAGTATCTCTGTATCTGTATCTCTCTGGAAGTATGAGTATGAGTTTTCAAGCATATATGAGTATGAGTATCTGGTTCCGCGACAGCGACGCCACTCAGCACGTTCATTATGGCATTTTGTCAGATACAAATTTTAGAGTCGCTCTCGCCCCGAGTATCTGTATCTGTATGCTGCTTCTGTTGCTGCTGCCTGCCGCTGCTGCTGCTGCTGCTGCTTCTGCTGATGCGGTTTGTTGCGCGATAAGCATACGGATATGTCAGTTAATTATTTGTTTATATTTTGTATTCCTCGCACTCTCTCTCTCTCTAGAGTCTAGAGTCTAGACTATGCGGTCTATATATAAGTATATATCGACTATATATATGTTTATGAATATCATAAATATATGTATGTATATTGGCACATCTGTACTGTATATTTGGAATAACATTTTTTTTGTGCTGATTATGGCAGAACGTTGGAGTCTTTAGAGGGAGATCAGGGAGATCTCTTGGGATTGGGAATTATATTCAGAATTGGAATTATAGATCTCTAAAGAGAGTTTTAAACTATTTATTATAAAATTTCAAACCTTGAGGTTTAATTAAGATATTTTTTTATACATTTTTTTAAGGTTTTTTAAAAAGAAAGTCTCTTTGAAGAAGAAACTCTAACTTTCTTGAAGAAACTTTTAAGAAAGAACCTCTAAAAAAATCCCAGTCTCTCTTCTAAGCCCTAAATACTAGCCCTTTGTTCTTCAACCCTTTTTTTTTAATAAAAAAAATTACCCAGAAATATTTAATAAATATTTAAAAACAAAGTTTTAAACTTTAAAGTAACCCAATATCCCCTCTAAACACACTTTCAACCGAAAGCTGAAGCAGCTGCTCTGCCACCGAAGTTACCTGCAACATATCTACAGCAAAATGGGAAATGCAAGCCAACAGCAGCAACATGCAGCAACATCGGCTGCGGCAACAGCAGCAGCAAGTTGTGGCAGCAACGAAACAGGCGATAAGGAAGAAAGCACAGGCAATGGCCAACAATGCCACTTGAGGGGGAAAATGACTGGAAAACCGGTGCAGCTCGCTGAAAATGCTATCTCCCTTCTCCACGTTTCGCGAATGTTTTTCGCTGGTGGTGTTGCTGGTTGCTGGTTGTTGCTGCAGCACCAACAACTTGCAACACGACGACAATGGCCAACCGGCTTAAGCATGTTGCATGTTGCTGCTGAGCGCCTGCTACAATGCAGCCGTTGAACACCTGGAATGGGGCATCCACAATCGGGATAGCCGGAGTAGTCTCCAACAGCTCCATATTCCCGGTTTCTCGATTGGCATTCCTTGTGCAGCACACCCCCCCCTCCCCTCCCCTCCGCACCCGGATGTAGCCCATACCCACACCCAGTTGCCCATCTGCCCATCGCATGTTCCCAGTGTCTCAGGTTGCTGCCACAACACACACTTCGAGGGCGGTTTACGGCGGAAGGGATGTTTCTCTTGCGAGGGTTGCGATTTCAGCTTGGAACTTGGGTTACTGGGTACCGGGTACCGAGTACTGGGTATTGGGCTTCATGGAAAAAAAAAAAAAATAAATAAATATAAACTGTGGGTGAGGCGTTGTGCTTGCTGCACAGGAGGAGAAAAACCCGAAAAAACCGAATCAACAAAAAGCTCAACGGAAACCTGTTTTGGCCTCCCGAGCCTCAACTGACTGAGTTGAGCTGAAGAGTTGGGGCCTCAGTGGCAGCCACAGCATTGACCCCACTGAGTCAACGACAAAATATGCCAGGAGACAGAGACAGAACTAAATTGCCAGAGTGAGAAGGATTGACTGGAGTGGAGACTGGAGCCTCAGGAGATCTCTTGTATCCGAATAAATGCAGAACATGGTGCGAAATATTTAATACAAAAATGCTGAAAAGGAGTTAAGGTCTCACAAAATAAGGCATCTCTCAATACAGTCTAGCTTCTGTAAATTAAAACTTGAAGAATTCAGAAGAAATCTTCTGAAAAATAGAGTTATAGATAGAGTAAAGATAGGGGCTTATACCATTAAGGTACATAAGTCTTAGAAAAAAAGGCTTTTCCTTTATTTCTAAACTATTTTCCAAGTTTTGTAACCATAGAAATTAAAGAACTAGTTCTTAGAGTTCGAAATTGAAGAAGAAATATAATTTTTTAGGTTTTTTTTTTTATTTAGGATTTGTTCTTTAGGATTTATTGTGTTTATCATATGTATTAGGATTTATGAAGCTTGTAATATATTAAAGTCTTCCAATGAAGGGGTTTTCTTTAATTTCATGGGTGTTTTTCTTCGTTTTTTGATAAAATTTGATTGAAATTTTAATAAAGAAATGGTTCTTAAGGCTTAACATTTAATTAACATTATTATTTTGTTTATTAGTAGTTTATTTTTGGGATGTATTATGTTTATTACATGTATAGAGGTTTATGAATTATATACCATAATAAAGTCTTCCAAAAAGGGGGTTTTCTTTCATTTCAGTAATTTTTTTCGAACTTTTTTTTTGAAAAAATGTTAAAAGAACTAAATCTTAGTGTTTGAAATTCCCTTTTATAAGTAATATTTACTTATTTTTTTGTGTTAGAGCATTTTTTTAATGAGGTTTATTGTTTTTTAGCTGTGTTAGGGCTTATGAAGGAAATACCATATTAGAGTCTTTTAAAGAGGGTATTTCATTAAATGCAATACTTGTTTTCAATGTTTCTTTTTTTAAGTAAGAACAAGAACTAGTTCTTGGTGTGTAAAACTCATTATTAGTCAATCAATTTTGTGTGTTTTAAGATTAAAAATGAGTTTAAAAATCTTAATATTTGGAAAATTTTGAAATTTAAAGGGAATTTAAAGTGAAAGTGTCCACGAAGTTTGATTTAAATGAGAAAGATAAGATATAAAAGTTTCTAAATAAATGAAAACCTAACAAAATTATATAAAGATTTAATAAAAAAAGTTTATATTAAACCAAAAAATAGAAAACTTATCTTAGACTAACTCTTAAGATTCTTAATTTTTACCATCTATTTATAAGTCAAAATTCCGCTTTTAAATATTACTCCGCAGATTAGTTTGCAAATTTTGCATTAGCCAGGCCAACCTGTATTAGCCAACTGCAGCAGACGGAACGAGGAGAGCCCAGGAAACCTGTTTACAGTTCAAACTCCACATTCGATATTCGATGTGAACTCTTATTTGGTGAGCTGTGTGGTGTGTGTGTTGGTTTTTTTTCTGTTTTTCTGTCTGGCATGCTCGACGGCTGGTGCTACGGAGGTTGGTGGCTCTGCTTAAGCCAAGTTGTGTGCTTCGCAACCATCTGAGTAGTTTTAAGCCACCTACGAAGCTGAAGCTTAGGCCGGGTTATCTCCGGGCTTAATTGGGTCATTCACACGCGCCACTTGCCGGCCGATAGAGATAGAGATACATTCCTTAAGAGAGAGATGGCAAGTTTGAGATTGAGACACTACTGAAATAACACACACATCTTCTTTTTTTTTTATTTAATTTTTTTTTTTAACCTAGCAACAACTTCCGGTGACGAAGAAAATAAAGTCGAGGCCCAAGCATACATTTTACATTACATGTTAGACTACTCCAGCGAACGACCAAGCATAAGGGGGGCGAAAGAGAAGAAAAAAATGAAAATAAAAAGACATTTGACGTGCTGGACAAATAATAATGTTTATCAAGTGAAGAAAAGTATTTAAAATGCCTCGAGTCTGCCTTGAATTTCATTGGAATGCGGTGGCTATTGGAAAGAAGGGGGAATTGGGAAATTTTAAGATTATTTCATTCAAAATATCATAAGATACTCAAGATATAAAATCTTAAAAGAATTTTAACATTTCATGAATCATTTTCCAAACGAAATTCCCAAAAATCCCCGAAAATTCCAGTATCTTTCAGAATGATTCAACGGTAACTATCAGAGCACCACACTCTCCCCCTACATACCACTCTCGGACTCTCTCTCGGCTCACCCTCTCTGAACTGCATACCCACACAAGGATTCAACAGCAAGGATCGCCCGAGAGAAGGTGAGAGCCGAGAAACGGAGCTCGTAGAGCGCCCACTAAAGCAGCCCAAAAAACAAAGCAAACACAAAGTCAACAGCCCAAAGACAAAGGCAAACAAATGAAAACACAAAAGACACGGCCGTAAAAACTAAACCGACCACTTCTGGTGGGATGGCGGGGCGAGCGAGAGAGCGAGATCGCAAGCGAGACCATTGTACATCCATCATTTTCTAGGCGATGCAGCACAAAAAGGCAAAAAAAAAATAATAGAAACTGCAATTGCGGCTTAGGAAATTATTTGGCAATTTACAAAGCTGGATCTAAAAAACTGGTCTTGATCTATTTTTAAAGCCAAGCTTTAGCTTTGGCCCGAGCTTTGCCAACAAAAAAGTTCCTCCAAGCATAAAAAAAACATCAATCAAACGAGGTTCTACACGAAAAGCGCTTCAAGGTCTTATCAAAATAACGAAAAAAAACAAAAAAAAAAAGTTGATATGAACCAGAAACTGGTTTCCCATGCAAAAACCCACCCACACCCATGGAATATAAAACGGAAATCATACGAAAACAATAGAACATCCAACTAATTAGGCGAGCGATAAGGGGAAGATCTAATGAAAATTACTTACCAGAAGAAACAGCTAATAATGCTAATGATTCTTCTTCTCCACTTCGGCGATAATCCAATTTGATTATGACTTTGATTTGTTTTTTATAAAACACTGATTATTGCTTGACTTTTAATCCAGCTGCAACAACAACAAGTACGGCACAATTTAATTAGATTGCAAATACTACAAAAACAGCAACAACAAATACAGTGTATCACATTAATATTCGGTTTTTTTTTTTTGCAACTTTAAACGCGAATAAAATGTATTATACTAAGAAATCACGAAATTTTAAAAATGGTATTTTAAACTTTGAAATATTGTCTTTACGTAGGTATATATATGTTAGCACTTTATTAAAAATTAAAAGAAGAATCACAACGAAACAAAAAAAAAGCTTGAAAATGGCTTTACTTTAATATTCGGTATTTTTATAAGTATTACGTTAAAACAATGTGGCAACTTCAGATCCGCCAAAAATGGGTTTCCCCAATTGCACACATATGACTGGTATTCATTTCCTACAAACAAGCCAAAAAAAGCTACTACGAGCACCGATTTTCGAGATGGGCCGCAAGGGTAAAAATGCATCATTGGAGCAGCGAAATCTTGTCCTCAAACTTCACTTAGAGGGCAAGACCTACAAGGAAACAGCCGAAATGCTTGACATGAAGCCCAACACAGTCGGTGACATCGTCCGACGCTTCAAAAATGAGGGAAGAGTGGCTTTAATAAAGCAAAAAGGACAGCCGAAAAAATTGACTGATCGAGAAGAAGCCGAAATAGTCAGAAAAATAAAAAAAAATCCTCGACTTAGTGCTCCTGAATTGTCGGCTGAACTCTTTGCCGATCATGGAAAGGAAGTTTCGGCGCAAACTATTCGGCGTACCATAAAAAAACAGGGGTACAACGGTAGAATCGCCCGTAAAAAACCTTTGCTATCGGAGCGCAACCGAAAGTTGCGAAAAAACTTTGCCCAGGAGTACTCCAAAAAGGACGAAAGCTGGTGGGACGATGTCATTTTCCTTGACGAAAGTAAATTTAATCTTTTCGGGAGCGACGGCAAGCAAATGGTATGGCGGAAACCAAACACTGAGCTGAAAAAAAATAACCTTAGGCCAACAGTTAAACACGGCGGGGGAAGTGTGATGATTTGGGGCTGCATTTCCACAAAAGGAGTGGGAAATTTAGTATTTATTGATGGGATAATGAACCAAGATCAATACTTAAAAATTTTGAAAGAAAATTTGAAGCAGTCGGCGGAGAAAATGGGCATTGCGAACTCATTTAAATTATATCAGGACAATGACCCAAAGCACAAGGCGCATAAAGTGAAGTCCTGGTTGCTTTACAACTGCCCAAAGGTCATGGAAACGCCGCCCCAATCACCTGATCTCAATCCCATAGAAAATTTGTGGAGTGAATTGGACCGCCGTGTACACCAAACGCCGATATCTTCAATATCGGAATTGAAACAACGGCTTCAGGCAGAATGGGTCAAAATTGGCGGCGAATACACAAAAAAAATTATTCGAAATATGCCAAAACGATTAAGCGATACCATAAAAAATAATGGGTATCACACTAAATATTAAGATAAATTTAATTTTAAGATAAAATAGTTTTTTTTTAGGTCTATAAGGAAATACCGAATATTAAAGTAACACAAATTTTGAGTTGTTTTTCGTTTTTGTTTAATTTTATTTTTAATTTAAAATAAATTCCTGTGTTATGTTATTTCTATGAATAGGTAATAAAAAAAGCTTTACTTTGCTATTTAAAATTTTTGTTTAAGTCTTTTTTTTAATCTCTTTCTTTTCATTTGAAATTGAGAAAGTAAAAAACCGAATATTAATGTGATTCACTGTAGATCGAGCACGGAAATCAGTTCAGTTGTCTCTCTTTTATTTGTTTGCCCCTCTCTCACTGTCGCTCTCTCTCTCCATCAGTCTGACTGACTCGCTGTTTTGTGTGTATGTGTGTGGAAATCAAAACAAAACTCAAGGAGAGAGAGAGAGTGCTAGCGAGAGCGTGATCCGTGGCTAGTTGTTGTTGCTGCTGTGTTTGCATTTTGCTTTTGTTTTAGTTTTAGTGACTGCAACATGTTGAATGTGTATTTACGCTCGTTCTAACGGTATTGGAAAGACCTCAAAAATCTTTCAAATTCAAAAAAAACGATTTACTGGCGATACAATCTGTTTTTGGCATACACTCTCACAACACACACACGCACACACACAGACACACACTAGTCCAAAAGGACGCTGTCGAGGGTTGCATTTAAAAATAATAATAAATAAAACACTGAATTGCTTACATCGTACCACTAAGCACCGTTAAACATTGGTACCGTTCCCCACAAGTTAACCACAAATTTTTCGAAACAAAGTAAACACCGAAATCAACAGGGAACGCCAACGCCGCTTTCGTCTTCGTTTTGTTTATACATTCAGTTATGTTTATGTTGAGTTTGTTTTTTTGCACTTTTTTTCACGACTTTTTTTGTCAGTTTCTTAACATTTAACTATAAGGATTCTTTCTTATTATTTTACGCGTGCGGTTCGCGATTTAAGACACTTTTTAATTGATTAAACGCGAGATGAGACGCGGGCTCCTTTCCAACGTGTAGTTCAAAAACACGTCCGCTCGCTTGCTGGTCGTTTTTGTTTTTGTTCAGTGTCGGCTACTTTCAGTGGGCTGCTGCTCAAAAAGGTAGATTCGGTTCTCTCTGAGAGTCTAAAGAAAGAGAGAGAGAGAGAACTGCTGTTTTTCTCTGCTTTTGGTTTATCCGGCAAGGCTGCACTGTTAGCCTTTTCTGAGATATATAGCTAGTTTAAATATAAAAGATCTTTAAATATTCTGAAATAGTTTTGGCTAGATTTTGAGTTTTTTTATTTGAAAATTATTCATTTTTGGTACTTTAGCGGTCGTTATGGCTTTTGTCTTTGTTCAAACAAAGAGCATCGCTTCTGGTTACCCGTTTCGTTACCGGTTCGAGAGAGAGAATAACAGCTGATTTTCATTATCTCTGTCCGACAGCTGTTCGATCTTTCTCTTTGTTTATAATTGCTCTTTGCCGGTTAGTAAATACTTATAAAATTAATAAATATTTAATTTAATACAATTATTTATAAATAAACACTTAATTACAGTTTCAGGGGTATTTTATCGTTCTAAAATACTAAAACTACTAAATGGTCACCCTGTGGCTCAAGTTAGCGGGAAGATTCACAGGGACGAGAGAATTTCGATATGCATTCGATATATGTTCGCGATTAATATCGATTACTATCCTCCCAAAAGTATAGAACGTTTTATGTAATAATATATATTTATTTTTTCAAATTGTTCTCCGTTATTTTGTTATATTCTTTTCAGCAAATTATGCTGTAAAACTTATAATAAAAATTAATTTATAAAAAAAAAATAAACACAAATGTATTGTGCTAATCAGGAATATCTTCTCTACTCTTTTTGGCGCCAATTTCAAAAACTCAAACCCCTGAGTTGAAAACTTTCCAATTCAAACTATCAACTTAAGTGCCTAGAGGTCATTTGATTATGTATTTAGCACGTCGGTATAAATATATATCATTTGATTCTTTCGATAACAATACTCGAAAAACAGTTGCAGATTGAATATTTGTTCCGTCGACGCGGTAATTTGTGTAAAATACTTTAACATTTAATTTGGATGCGAACAACAACCAACAATTTACGATTTAGATAATGGTTCTATATTCCACACACTAACAGTTTTGTAGTCACTTGGTAGCAGCTGCAATAATGTAGAATCAATAGTTGATTAACGGCTTTCGAGGCTTGAGATTCAAATAATTTCAATATTATAGTCGAAAGATCGAAATATCGAAAGAGTAAGAACACAAAATGACGAACAGAAAATTCATCTGGCGGGCAATATAAATAATTTATGTATTTTGTGCGTGAATGCGTCTGATAAACGATGAAATATACTTTCGTAGGCATCTGTTGGATGTGGCGGGAGGTTGGGTGGCTGATGATGGTGGGGCGGCTGTGGGTCGGGGCGCTGCTGCTGCCGCTGCTGCTTCTGTCATGGAGCTCCTCTTTTTTTTTTTATTGCGGATCTTACGTCAAACCATATAAGCGGATCGGATTCAGGTGTGAGGATGCCAAGGAAATTATAAAAAAAAATAAAACAACAACTCAAGAAGCAAATATTGAGACATTGATTCGAGAAGTGCGATAAGGAGAACATAGATGCGAGCGATGTGGTGCGACTGTATCTCAGGTACAGACACACAGATAGATACAGGATGCAGCGCCAGGGGAACAGGCGCAACAGGCGATGACGATACTCTTAGGCGACGGCATCGGTGTCACACTCCTCCTCGACGGTGATGTACATACCCTCCTCCTCGTAGGCGGAATCGTGCTTGGCCAGGATCCGCAGCAGGGGACGGAGACGCAGCCACCACTGCTTCTTGGGTATGCGTTGGCTACAAGTTTAAATAAAAAATTATTAATAATTTTCCAGTTTTTTTTAGCGACTCTGTTAACTCACTCAAAGTTGGTCTCGGCAATGAGATCCACCAACGGCGAGAAGCGGTACTGGCGGGACACAATACCCAGAAGTGTGGCGGTCTCGGGGGATTTGCAGTTGACGACACCGTTGGCATCGATGTTGGCCTTGATCTGGGTGGCCAACCAGTCCACGCACTTGGCTGCCATTTTGGTGCCCATGTTGCGGTCGAAGGGAGTGGGGGAACCACCCTGTTGCATATGACCCAGAATGTTCATGCGGCAGGTGAACAAGCCCTTGCCCTCCTCCGAATACAGGCGGTAAATGAAGTCCGTGGTATAGTTCTCGCTGGCCTTCTCGTTGCGCAGGATGAGACCGCGTGCCACACCCTCGGCCATTTTGGAGGCCATGTGGTAGACATCCTGTTGCAGGTCCTTGATGGAAAATTTCTCCTCGTAGATGTAGGCGGCATCAGCACCACCAGCCAAGCCGGCCAAAGTGGCCAGGTAGCCGCAATAGCCACCCATTGTCTCGATAACGAAGACACGACGCTTGGTGCCCTGAGCGGATTGCCGAATGCGGTCACAGATCTCGGTGATCTCGTTCAGACCGGTGTCGCAGCCCAGAGAGAACTCTGTTCCGGGTACATTATTCGAAATGGTCGAGGGAATGACCACAATGGGGATGCAGAACTGCGGGTAGTTGTCCCGCTGATCGGCAATCTGTCCGGCGGCATGGTAGCTCTCGAAGCCACCAATGATGAGGAGACCCTGGATCTTGAACTCCTTGAGGCGAGCGGCAATCTCCTTGAACTTGCCCTCGGGCAGGGTGCGCTTGGTGCCTAAGTAGGCGCCACCCTGGCCCACCCATCCAGAGACATCCGACCTGGAATCACAGAAAACCTATTAAGACTCAACCAGATAGGTAAACTAGACCTCTAACTCACCAGCCCAGCTCGCGGACATTTCCGGCAATGAGACCCTCCACACCATCGTTGATACCATAGACGACATCGCCACGGTAGATGGCATTGCGCACAAAGCTGCGGACAGCGGCGTTCATGCCACAGGCCGGGGCACCGATGTGCATCACGGCTAGGCGGTAGCCCTCGATGCCCTTGCCTTGGGCATCAAAGTTCTCCTTGGGGGGCTTCAGGCGCGTCAACATCTTATAGGTCTCGAGGTTGCGCTCGAAGGAGCGGCCACGCAGCTTGACGGCGTCCGCCCAGCGTTTCTCCTTCATGGCCAAGGCCACGGCCTGGGTGCGCTGGACGCACTCCATCAGGGGCACACGTACGGCCTGGTTGCCGTCGAGGGAAATTACCACTGGCACTGACTCCTTGGTGGCCTCCATTAGAGCCAAAGTGGCCTCAGCACCCATGCGGCAGCCCTAGTTGGGGAGGAAAGAGTGGTTTTTAATGAAAATGTTGCCTACTTAATGGGGCCTTCTATATCGAAGTACCGGGTATGAATATTATGATGTATAATTCTTACCAAAATACGATCGAAAGCACTGGGATTGCCTCCGCGTTGCACGTGACCCAGGACAGTGATACGGGCGTCGTGCTTCAGACGCTCATCGATCACCTTCTTGACATCCTCGGCGGTGATGGGATGTCCCTCCCGATCCATGGCACCCTCGGCCACGATAACAATGTTCAGGCGCTGGCCAGCCGAGCGCTCCTAAGGATTTAATTTTAAGATTTAATATTAAAATTGGTTTTTAAAGAATTAATTATAAAATGCAACGAAAAAGTACAACAGCAGAACAGAAATAATGGAAAGTGATGTTGATTTATGGAGTATCTTGTAGATAAACTTTTCAAAAGAGAGTTCTGAATGATGTAAAAACATTAAAGATGATGTAAGACAGATGATGTGATGAACTTTTTACAGATCGATAGTTTAAGAATGTGGTTTAGATTAGTGGCTTTGGGAAAGTTAGTATAGGTTTTCAGTGAGATTACGTGAAAAAGAACAAAAAATACCCCAAAGACCCAAAAACAATTAAATCAAATAGCTGTTGAAGCTGTTTATCGGCAAGATAATTTCGGGCACCAATGCCAAAAACATTAAAAGCAAATAGAAAAGTGTTCAAAATTTTAAAGAAAACTTTGACAAAAAATAAGTATAATTAAGGCGAGGCAGGATAGGACTCTAGGTCTGACCTGCTGCAGTTTTAAACACATTTCGTCCTTCCAGTTGACTGAAACTGGCTCCTCGGGTATGAACATATAATCACCCTCAGTGGCTATGGCAGCCGATATCGCTAAGTAACTAAAAAAATGAAAAAGATTAAATACAAAAAAATAAAAAATAATAAAATGGTTTACAAATGTCAGGGATAAATAGGGATTTTGGGGGGATATAATTTAAGATTAGTTACAATATGAATCGAATATGCTGGGACAGACATAAAACTGTGCATAACTTGGTCGGTATATCGGTTTTCCAAAAAAAAATAAACATTCTTGTGCAGATGCGAAAAAAAATAAGGAAAAAGCTATAGAATGCGGCTATAAAAAAATGTACTGGACTTGTACAAGTTTTCTACAAATGCTTTAAAAACTTCACTTAAAGAAAAACTTCAACTATACTCTCGATTTCGGTTTAATAGTCTGATAGAATTTTTAAACCAATTTCAAGATCAAAAGTTTTTCTTTCAGTGCAGTTAGTGTGGAGAATAGAAGAGCTGCTTCTTGCCTGGGCCAGCTGGGAGCAGAGCCTGTCTGGCCAGTCGACCTTGGGCGGCATTTCGGGAATGAATATGAAATCCGCCTCACACGCCAGTCCTCCCACAAGAGCTAAATAACTGGAAAAACAAAATATTGGTATTACAAAATATTAGTCAAAAAAAGTGGGGAAAAGGGGCGGGTGGTGATTGGGAGGTTGGAGGACATCTAAAATCGATCAAGATGGTGGACATTCAACAGATATCCGTTGTAGGAGGGGCTTGCCTGTTCCAACTTGAGGACAAGTCGATCGGGCCAGTCTTGCGGCGGGGGATACTCCGGCAGAAATACGTAATCTGCCTCAGAGATAACGCCAGCTACCACTGACAGATATCTAAAGATATATATATATATATTTTGGTAACGGGCATTAGCTATTAATCCCAATTAATCACTGACACTTAACCTAAGACAATAGCCCTTCAAGATTCCATTTTTAAAACTCACCCACAATGACGACCCATCACCTCCATGATGAATGTACGCTGATGGGAGTAGGCAGTGCTGGAAATGGCATCGATAGCCTCAATAATCCTGTGCAGAGCCGTATCCGTACCAATGGTCATGTCCGTGCCGCAGAAATCGTTATCGATTGAGCCCACCTATGGACAAAATTTAATGAAAAACATTAAATTCAAGTTTTTAAATAAAATTTAAAAGAAATCCTTACCAATCCCACAATGTGCAGGACACCGAACTTCTCCTGCTGTTCGGGGGTGATGGTGCCGTTCTTGACCAGTTCCTCCAACAGGCTGGACCACTCCTGACGGAACAGATTGGCGCCGGTGAGGGAACCATCACCACCAATCACCACCAAGTTGGTAATTCCACGCTGGATCAAATTATTGGCAGCCTTTAGTCGGCCGGCACGCTCACGGAAGTCCTGGCAACGGGCGGAGCCAATGATGGTGCCACCACGATGAATAATGGAGGACACCGAGGCCCAGTTGGCTTCCTGGATGCAGTCGCCACCATCAACCATGCCCTGGTAGCCCTCGCGAATGAAGTAGGCCTAAGATAAAACATAAAAAATGATGTAATTTTTTCAAAATATGGCGATAATTTTTATTTTGGTTTTTAAAGCAGGTGTTTCTTCTCCTTATCTCCTCGTGACGTGATTCGTGTTGAGTTTATTGGGATTATAAAGTTAAGAGAGGTATTTAAGTTAGCATATTGTTGTCATAGTGACTAAAGTTTACTTTTCTGTTATTTTTTCACAAGAATTCTATAATAATGATAATCTTATCGAAAGCTTTGAAACTTTTACACAATGTAACGGTTATTTTTAAACGGGTTAGTTCAATAGTTATCGATAAGTTATGGATCCTTTATCATGAGACACACCTCTAGCATATCGATAAGTTATAGATCCTTTTTTACGAGACACATCTCTATATTTTTTGGAAAGTTTACAAATTTGATTAAAAAATTAATATTTATTTGTTATACTTTAAACTTTTAAATGCCTTAAAAATGTTTATTTATAATTCTTATTAAAGAAATAGTTATCGATAAGAGATAGATCTCCATATTTTCCAGGAAGTTTTAAAAATTATTCTTTCCTGTTTTAAACTTTAATTTTTTTTTTTTTTAATGTTACTGATGCACATGTTATCGATGGGCTATAGATCCCGTATCAGAAGACACACCTTTTCTTATTAATTAAGAAGTACATACATTTATTTATTTACTTTACACTTCAAAGCTTACAACAAGAACAAACATATACAAATTAAAAGAAAGCTTTTTTACTTTGATAGAAAAAAAACTATACTTATAGTACATCTTACTTTAAAGTGTAGTAAGTGCTATTGAGTATGATAAATTTCACTTTCATTGCCACTCAATAAATTCAATTCCGCGAAATAGATTTTAATCAATTTCAATTAGCGGCAATTGAGAGAAAACATTAGCATATCTAGAGGCGCAAAAGGAGTCGTTAGAAACCGCTTCAAACATCATGAAACCGAATTTAAATTTCAAAAAAAAAAAAGGAAAACTAAATGAAACAAATTAGCCGAAAAGAAATCGCATGTGAAGAGACCGAAATAAACCCAATGTCAATGTGCAAATACATATAGGTTTCGTATATAAGTAGTGGCGTACTCATGATTGCTGTGCTACACAAATTTCTTTTCGGCCCGATTAGAGATTATCTAACTGGCTTAGCACTCAATATTTGTCACGGTTTTCTCACTGCCGCCTATTACCGCAGCGCTGATAAGCACAATTTGATTGGAAAATGCGTTCCAGACAAGTTCAAGGATCATTCCGAGGGACAGGATGTTATGATGCTGGATGTGGGTGGCTGGTGGGGGTGCTGGAAAGTACTTGACAGAGGTCACAAACTCACCTTGCAGCCGAGGTAGATGGCCATACGAACACAGGCTCGTACAGCGGCATTCATGCCCTGGGAATCCCCGCCGCTGGTGAAGACAGCCAATCCCTTGTCCTTCTGCGATCCACGCGCCAGGAATCGTTGATTAATTTCAGAATTCATGATGACTAATTTTTTTTCTGTTTTTTTTTTAAATATATATCTGTATCTTGAACAGTAACGGATATAATCACACCCGCACACACGCGCACACTCTGTCGGGTCTCGGAGGATAATCAAGTTTAGGGTTTGGTCGGTTTTTTTTTTTTTTTTATTAAATTTAAACTATTTAATTAATTTAATAACCGAGCAGGAGCTGGAGATGGTTAAGTGTAATTAATATCCAAACTGGCTATTAATACTCTACTGTTCCTTTCCGCTCTGTTCCGTGGCTTTTCAGTTACTAGCCAATATATATTCCCGAGCGGTATTCACAAGTTTCGCTTTTGCTTTTGACGTTTCAAGGTGACCTTTTGGGACCAGACGCATACACAACACACACGGACACACGCACACAGCCTTAGGTATTCGCTGTAAGTGCGTACTGATGCAACGCTGGTGTTTCCTGGCTAAATTGGCTGGACTTTAACCCTCCAGAGATTTTGCAAATTTTCACAGCTCGATTAGATTGCTTAGGTAATTTTATCAGTTATGCAGGCAATTTTCACGAGCCACGACCAGCGGAAAAAGGCGTTTAATCACTTTGTACTCGATTTGTTTACGTTTTGCAAGGAACAGCTGGCCGATCAGCTGTTTATCAATGGACGAGTAAAAGCTTGCGAGAGCTTTCACCGTATCATGAATTCCCGTTGGAATGCAACTCGTTATATTATAAATTTCTTTTCTTTTTAAGTTTTATTAAATTTTAAGTTAAAATTATTAAATAAAATTAGTTTGTTTTTGTATTTTGATTTCTTAAATTATCCCCAGAATTAGATTTTGTTCTGGAACCGGAAGGAGAGAGAGAGAGTGTGTTATCGGTGCGTGGGTGCGATAGTCCGAAACTTTCATTAAAAATCGATAAGTTTTTTAAATTTTCTGTTATTTCTTATTTTCTTAATTTTCATTGATAAGATAAGGAAAAATATAGATTAGAGTTTTAATTTGACATTAAATAAATTAAGTGCTTTACTCATTATAAATCCCTGTAAGTTTTTCTTTAATTAAAAAAATGATAACATTTTTGGAGCTCAATTTTTGACTATTTTTATAACGATCTTTTTGATATATTTTGGTTACAGATTTACAGCTCTAATCAAAAGTGGAAAATATATTATAAAGTTATGTACTTACCTCTCTTTTGGGCCGTTTAGTTTTAATTTCTTCAGATCTATCAACCGTCCCCGGTATACGATGCACCTCTGAGATACAGCCATCCTCATCCCATATTACCCCTTTGTCCAATTTATTTTTCCAGTCGTTAGATGCCTTTCTAAACTGATTTCCATTGACGATTTTGACATTTCGAACTTTTGAAAAATGTTCAAGATTTCGTTTCGGCCTGGTCAGATAAAGCCTAAGTTTAAAAATATCGTTACCGTGACTATCGCCTTTGTGACTCAATCGTATCCATTCAATGTCAAATTTTTGAGGAACTAACTAAATGGTAATATTTACACATATACCGGATATTATTTTAAAGGAGATATTACCTTGTTATCGAGACGGAATTCATGGCTTGAACAAAAAGTTACATAATATCGGTTAATAGTTTTGTCCAAATGGTGCAATTTTGGCGTCGAACGACTGGCCCGTATCGAGCTGACAAGATCGTAAACTCATCAAGCCCTAAGCCGAGTCATTATAATCACATACTTACAAAGTTTGAAATTTGGATAACACTTGGAATTTCTTTAAATGCATGCCAAATGAAATTTTGCTCCTAAACACATTTCCAGACTATCTAACTTGCATCCTTCCGTTGTCCCAAATTTTGTCCTATTGTCCAAATAGATATGTACTTTGACATTTTAGTGAAGAGATACTAGGATTTTATTTTTAATTTTGATGTTTTTTTTGAGGATTTTAATAAGTTTGTAGAAGAAGTATGATAGAGAGAACTTAGGGCCATTGAGAGTGCATAGATAGGAACTAAAATTATAAGTCAATTTTGTGAAATTTTAATAAAATAGTAAAAATAGTATATGTATTGTAGTATTGAGATTTCTCATATGGTAGATAGAAGTTTGGACCATAGAGAGGTCATAGATAGGAAGATAAAGTTGTGGAGATAGATAGGAAGTTGTTTTTTTTGTGGAATTTCATTAAATTTGTAGTAATAACATTGTAGAAATTTGTATTATGATAAATAGAACTTTAAGCCATTGAGAGTGGAAGCCTAATAATAAGTCAATTTTCATTAAGATTGGATAACTATATCCTACAGTTGTCTAGATACTTGGCCCATTGTGCTATACTATAATAGAAACACCATTCCAAGTATGGTTTGTTGTTTTTTTGTATTATTTATTTAATTTTTTGTTTTTTTGTTTTTTTTTTGTTGGTAATTAAGAAACTGTAATTTCAATAAACTTAAATATTCCACTCATACATCAATCTTTGCCTCTGTTATATGCTTACAATTTTTACGCCTTGCACCCGGTTTTTTATGTTTTTTTTTTTTGGTTGCTTGTCCTTTTATGACTATCAATTATTATATTTACTGGGATTTCGATTTATTAGCGTTGCGGCAAAAAGTTTTTGTTTTATATTTAAATATATGTTTTTTGGTTTTTTTTTTTTGTTTGTTTTTGTTTTTCCTCACATTCATAATATAGCGATAAATTCAATTGCGAAAATATACATTTACTTTTATCATACATACATATGCTCTGTATGTTACCGATTTTTATTGGACAATATAATATATATATAGTAAATTGTATATATATTTTGTTTGCAGTTTTCAAATTATTTGTGTTCTTGTTGTTGTTAATACACATGCAAAGTTTTTTTTTGTTAAATTAAACATTTTGAATAGATTTAGTTTACAATATTTATGTATTTTGATTCATTCTTCATTTAGTAAGTTAAATTTCAGTTAAATATTTCCACTGTTATATTTTGCATTTTGCAAGTGTCTCAAATTGATGGAAGGAAGCCGAATAATTGCAAAATTTAAGAAAAGGAAACAAATGCCAGATATTAGGAACAATAGATGGATGTTTCTCTGGTATTTTTGAAAAAGTGTTTAACTGGCCGCACAATAAAACTCGTGCCTATAGCCCATGTTGAAAATTTTAATTTAAAAAAACAGATTATTTGACTTCCGCTTATTAATGGTTTTGAGTTTCTTTTTCTTTGAATTTCATTTTTCGACAGACAGTTGGATAATATGTATGTATTATATGAGTTATGCTTTTCACAATTGTTTATACCAAGAGAAAACAACAAAGAAATTGCAATTGTAGATTTAACCCTTTTTTGTTTTATGTAAGACATGTATAAAAAATAGCAATGAACAATTATATATTTTATCTGTATTTTTCCGTATTTCTTCGCGATCTCTCCTCTAACAGATATGGTTCCATGGATCCACATTCCGCGCACATGCATCATAAATGCAATCCTGTGTGTGAGTTCTCTGTTGTGTGTGTGTATGTTGTTGTCTTGTTCTATGTGTGTTTGTTTCTTTGGGGGGGTGGTGGTGGAGGGAGGGTCTCGAAATGAATCAAACATAATTCAAACAATTCAAATAAAAGTGATCGAAATAAATGATTCTTTTTTTTTTGGGTTTTTTTTGGTTTTATTTGTTTAGAAAAAGAATTACAAATAATACATAAGTTTTTGTTTTTCTCATTTGGTTCGCTTGGTTGTTGTTGTATTTTTTGCTGTTGTTGTTGTAGTTGTTTCTGTTACCTAACGAAAAATTAAATAATTAATTTAGAGACTTGTTTTTTTCGCAAAAAAAAAAATACAAATAAAAAACGTAAAATAACCGATTATCGCATTTATCCATTTCTCAGCTTTGTTTTGTGTAAACAATTAGGAATATTATTTATTTGTAAGGAGGAAATCCACACGAGGCATTGTCGCAATAACGAACCAAACGAAAAAACAAAGCAACCGGAATTCGGAGTCGGTAGTCGGGGGAATCCCCCTCGATCGATCGATAAAACCGATAAATCCAACCAAACTCACGAGTTACTTCGAGGATTCTATTCATTCGGCTCGAATGCTGTAATATTTGCTGTTGCTGTTGTTGTTGTTGTTGTTTAATGCTAAAGCAGTTGCAGTGACTGACATTTGAGTATCCGAACGACCGGCATCGCTGTATATATTTATTATACATATTCGGTTTATGTATAAACGTCTCCAAAAAAAAAAGTATGAGGCTCCGTAGCAATCGGAGCAGTCCGGCTAAAAAAACTCGACCCATCCTTTCGAGAGCGAAATGGCCCCAAATGCCAGCCGTATCAGGCCTCAAATGAACTGGATAGCAATTCTACAGAATGCACTCCTTTTAAAAAAAACAATGTTTTTTTTTGAAAATTTCACACTCGCTATGCTGTTGCTGCTGCTGGCTTGCCTGGATTATTTTTTCAATTCAAATTGGTTTCTTTTTAGTTTTTGTTTCTTTTTTTCTTTTGCGTTTTGCTGGATGTTGTTGTTGTTGTTTTGCTTTGTTTTATAATATTTGTTTCTCTTTGTTGTTTCTGGTTTTTTGTTTTTGTTTTTTTTTTTGTTTGTATTACTGAATAATATTTGCATAGTCAAAAAGGAAACATTTTGCTTAGTTGTTTGGTTAGTTGTCGCCGCCCTCCTGAGGCTCATCCCCGTCAACCTGGGTATCGGAGGTCCAGAGAGTCAGGTTGTCCCTCAACAGCTGCATGATGAGTGTCGAGTCTTTGTAGGAGTCCTCGTTGAGTGTGTCCAGCTCGGCTATCGCATCATCGAAGGCCTGTATTTTTTTTTTATAAAAACATATATTAGTTTAAAGTACTTTTAAAAAATTATAAATATATCACAGCTTCCATAAGGGAAATGTTTGGCAAGGCAAAAAAATGCAAAACTGGTAGAAGAACATAAGCATTTTCTTTTTTTTTTTTTTATCGAACCTTAACTAAATAATAAATTAAGAAGAAAAAAAAATACAAAGTTTTCACCAGCAAAGGCCGCAGGTAAGTTGAAACACAGGCATTTCTCATGCAGTTTTTAAGGTTCTAGGTTGCTCGGACAAGTTTCATCTTGTTATTGTAAGGAGGTTGCCACTTTTGCGGACAAGTTTGTTTTGTTTGAGCTTGTTTGTTAAAAGGGATGCCACTTAATTGGAGTTTAGTTAGGATACTACTGTTCAGGGACGCAGTAAAGCTTATTTAATTGTTTTTTTTAGGTTTTTAGTCACAAAACAACAACAAAATATCTGCTAAAATATCACTATAGAGTGAGTTAGTTTAGTTGGGGAGTATCGGAAGCGAGTGTTAAACGGTATATAGTTTTAAGTTGAACTGAACCTGTTTAGCTAAGTGACAAGCCCTCGCTGGTGAATTGATTATTTCGTAATAGAAGACGGAAAAGTTGAGTGCTAGACCTAATCTGATTGGATGTGTGGGCTGCATTTTCGATTTTGCAATATCGAACGCCTCCTGATAGGCTTTTTTCGAGTCCTCAACGACGGCTTTTTAATAGGCCGATCAAATAAAACGAAAAAAGAGTAAAGAAATACCAAATTTAAAAAAATACAATTTACAAATCAATTAAATTATACATTTTCTTAAAGGATAATGATTTTTTGTGTATTG